CAGGTGAAGCAGCAAGTGCTAATGGAGAAGCTACAGCAAATTATCCAGAAACCCTAGCTGAAATAATTGAAGAAGGTGGCTATACTAAACAACAGACTTTCAATGTAGACAAAACAGCCTTCAAGTAGAAGAAGATGCTTTCTAGGACTCTCACAACTAGAAGGGAGAAGTAAATGCCTGGTTTCAGAGCTTCGAAGGACAGGCTGACTCTTTTGTTAGGGGCTAATGCAACTGGTGACTATGTGGTAGCCAATGATCATTGACCATTCTGAAAATCCTAGGGCCCTTCAGAATTATGCTAAATCGACTCTGCCTGTGTTCTGCAAATGAAACAGCAAAGTATGGATGACAGGACATCTGTCATAGTCTACTACATTTTTTTCCTTTTTTCAGACAGAGTCTCACTCTGTCATCAGGCTGGAGTGCAGTGGCGCAATCTTGACTCACTGCAACATCCAGCTCTTGGATTCAAGCAGTTCTCGTACCTCAGCCGCTGAGAAGATAGGATTACAGGCGTGCATCATCACACCCAGCTAATTTTTTTGTGTTTTTGGTAGAGACGGGGTTTCACCATGTTGGTCAAGCTGGTCTGAAACTCCTGGCCTCAAGTGATACGCCCACCTCAGCCTCCCAAAGTGCTGGGATTTCAGGCGTGAGCCACTGCACCTGGCCCTGATAAATCTTTTAAGCCCACTCTTGAGACCTACAGCTCAGAAAAATGTTCCTTTCAAAAGATTACCGCTTATTGACAATATACCTGGTCATCCAAGAGCTCTGACGGAGATGTACAGAAGACTAATTTTGTTTTCATGCCTGGTAGCTCAATGTCCAATTCTTCAGCCCATGAATCAAGAAGTAATTTTAACTTTCAAGTCTTACTATTTAAGAAACACATTTCATAAGGCTATAGCTGCCACAGACAGAACAAATCCATCAGAAGAATCACAAGAATCACCAAGACAATTGAAAACCTACTGGATGACGTCCAAAAGAGCACAGAATATTTTTCCAAGCAGAAGTGAGCATTGGGCCGTTTTAGTGCCAGGCTGCAGTGGACAGCCATAACAAAAGCTCTTTTCTATTTTCATAAGTAAAACACTAGACTTTAGATTCAGATGAGATGTGATGTGGTACAAGCCAAGCCTTTCCTACGGGGGTTAGAGAGGCCAGCCTTTCTTCCCTTGGTAGGAATGGCTTGAGTTGTGCTGTGAGGCAGGCCACTGATTTGTATGATGTATCAATAGAGGGCATCAGCCAACTGATCGTTTGCAGTTTCTATTAACTGACAAAAAAAAAAAAAAAGGTAAAAGAAAACCTACTGGAAAGGATTCACCATCTTTGTTGCCATTTGAAAACATCTATCCAGCAGGTGACGCTGGCTATGAGAGGCCAGGGGCACAGGTGGAGACCTCAGGGGAGGTAACACCAAGGTGACGGGTTGCAGATTGCAGAGAGCCACAGTAGTCAGCAGCAGAGAAGCGGGGCAGAAAAAAACAACAGCCAGAGCTCAGGTCAAGGAGGCACAAATAAAAATGAAGAAAAAGAAAAGAACATTTGTGAATCATGGGAGGTCATATATCAACATTAATCGTCTAGAAGTTGATTCCAGTCCTTATGGATGACTTTGAGGGGTTCAAGGTTTCAGTTGCAGAAGGAATTGCAGATGTGGCAGAAACAGCAAGTGGACTACAATTAGAAGTGGAGGCTAAAGATGGGACTGAATTGCTGCAATCTCACGAACAATCCCGAACAAATAAAGAGTTGCTTCTTACATATAAGCAAAGACAGTGGTTTCTTGAGATGGAATCTACTCCTGGTGAAGATGCTGTGAACATTGTTGAAATGACAAGAAATGATTTAGAATACTATAGACAGTTGATAACGTGGTGTCAAAATCTAAAATAACTGACCCCAACTTTGAAGTTTTACTATGGGTAAAATTCTATTCAACAGCATTGCATGCTACAGAAAAACTGTAAGGAAGAAAGGAAGAATCAATTGATATGGTCAACTTCACTGCTGTCTTATTTTAAGAAATTGCTACCCGGGTGTGGTGGCTTATGCATGTAATTCCAGTACTTATTCCAGTAGTTAGGGAAGCCGAGGTGGGCAGATTGCTTGAGTTCAGGAGTTCATGACCAGCCTGGGCAACATGGTGAAACTCCAGCTCTACAAAAAATATAAAAATTAGCCAGGCATGGTGGTACACATCTGCAATCCCGGCTACTCCAGAGGTTGAGGTGGGAGAAGGTGAAAGCTGCAGTGAGTTGAGACTGTGCCACCGCACTCTGGGCAACTAGAGTGAGACCTTGTCTCAAAAGGGGAGGAGGGGGTGGGGGGGAGGAAGGGAGAGAGAGAGAGAGAGAGAGAGAGAGAGAGAGAGAGAGAGAGAGAAAGAGAGAGAGAGAGAGAGTAATACCACAGCCACCCCAGCCTTCAGCAACCACCACCCTGGTAAGTAGCCATCAACATCGAGGCAAGACCTTCACCAGCAAAAGGCTCAGATATCAGGTATGTACATTAATTTTTAAACATAATTTTTAAACTATAACATAGCCTGTATAATTCACAGGCTATGGTATAGTGTAAACATAACTTTCATATGCACTGAGAAATGAAAAAATCCATGAGTTGCTTTACCGGGATATTTCCTTTATTGCCATGGTCTGCAACTTAACCTGCAATATCTGGGGCATTCCTAAATTACAGTGATATAAGGTTGCCTTGGGAAGGGCAAAACAGGATAGGCCAGAAAAGGAGATTATTACCAAGGGGCATGAGTAAATTTTGGGGGTGATGGAAATGTTCCTCATCTTGATTGTGGTGATGGTTTCTTGGGAACATATGTGTGCCGAAATTAATCAAACTATATTTTAAATACGTGTAGTTTAAAAAAGTCGTATTTGAAGTAACTAAAAACATATGTATATATAACAAATTAATATTGAAAAACTAAGCACATACACCTGATGTTGTTAGAATCCAATTTTAGGAGGCGTTTTTAGTTTGCCTAAATGGTAAGGACTAGTGAAGTGGTGTTGTGTCATCATTTCCTATATCTGATATGTTATGGTGGTTTTAATCAACCAAAATAAGCATTAAATCTCTGAAGTAAATGTTCAAGAATCTCAAGAATTTAGATCCGGTAAAATTCTATAAGGCTTATAAATCAGCATCACAATTTGACATTAAAATATCAGCTCCTATAATTCAACATTTATTGAAAATCTGTGGGAAAGGCACTTAGGGTAGGGATACATTAAAAATAGAAGTTCTCAAGAAATTTAAATGTCTTATTGATTCAGCTCATTATCCCTAGAGCAGCAAGCTTGACACTATTCTAAAGAAGGCAACATGTCAAATGACTACTCTATTTGCTACTTTTCCTTACTTACTTTATAATCTTTGCTTACCAAAATATATTATACATAAATAACAAATAGCATAAGCCACTTGTAGAGTATTCTACACTCTAAACAGATAAATTGAGCAGGTAACAATCTCTCAGTTTCTTTTGTAAAAATATGAAAACAATGACTGTCTACTTTGTAAAGTTTGTTGAAAAGATCAAGGTAAATACTGTGTGTCAGAGTATTTTAAACCATAAGGTGCTGAAAAAATATGGAGAATTGTCATCATAATAGTCTCAATACTATTATCCTGGTCCCGGGGGAAAAAAATCAAAAGCATGATGGTTGTTTGGTGAATGTACAAAATACAAACAGAAGCAAAAAGAAAAGAAAACAAAAAAGTATATACACTCAGCCCTCCATATCTGCAGATGCTGACTGTAGGGGACCTGAGCACCTGCAGATTTTGGTATCTGAGGGAGTCTTTGGACCCCTGTTTATATAACACTTTCAGCAGGAACAGAAGCTGATAATAACTAATTTGAGCATTATTGTTTCAAACAAGAGAATGAGAGAGAGGTCTCTGCTGAATCCCCTCTCTAGAGCTAGTGAAGTTTCTCCTTAAGAGCTTTTCTGGAAGCCTTTTAAGAAACTCTCACATAGAAGCACCTGGAATCTCAGAAATCAATTAAGTACACTGATATACAAAGCCCACTTAAAGTGCCTTCTCTGAGGCAAAACAAAAACAGTTAACGGCAAGAGAGTTTTCCACTCAGCTCCTAACAGTCAGAAGATCATTTCTGATCAGTCCTGTTTCCAAGTTAGATTATAGTAAGCAGCCTAAGTTTATGATCAAACTTCCCAAATCAGGCTGGGCACGGTGGCTCAGGCCTGTAATCCCAGCACTTTGGGAGGCTGAGGCAGGTAGAACACGAAGTCAGGAGTTCAAGACCAGCATGGTCAAGATGGTGAAACCCTGTCTCTACTAAAAATACAAAAATTAGCTGGGCATGGTGGCAGGCGCCTATAATCCCAGCTACTCAGGAGGCTGAGGCAGAGAACTGCTTAAACCCAGGAGGTGGAGGTTGCAGTGAGCCAAGATCGGGCCATTGCACTCCAGCCTGGGCAACAGAGTGAGACTCCGTCTCAAACAAACAAACAAACCAACAAACCCCCTAAATCAATTTCATTGAATTTACACTTTTAATACATTTCCAACTAATCCTGCCAATTTAATTCCACAGAATTCTAGGTAGAAAACAAAAAGTTAAAAGTTAAAGTGAAAAAGTTTTGCAAATCTTTTCGTTTCACTGTGGTCAAATTCTCACGTTACATTTGGGCAATTCACATTAATATGAAGACAGAAACAAGCTATGACTAGAGGCATATGAAGAAAATGTCTAACAGGGCATTTGTAACATTTTCAAGTTTCTAAACTATTATTTTCTGTGCCCAAGAGTTTAATAACTTCAGAAATAAACATTTTGATTAATGAACGTATCTTACGATACTTCTGTGTAACTACACTATTAGAACAATAACTTATTTTACAAGAATTTTGCTATTGATATTTTCCTATTTATGATTTTAGTTGTTCTTAATTCCATTAGAAATCTAAGGCACGATCAAAAATTGAAACAATGCACTTACGTCATTACTTCCTTTAGTGATCCAATAGCTTTTTCTAAAGTGCTTTTGTCTGGATTTTCATCAGCTGTATGCTTCTTAAGATCTGTAATAATACAATGATTTTTTCATGCATAAAAAATTAACTGATTTCTCATCTAAGACTTTAAAATGCTGTCCATCTTGATACAGCTGATTAATGTTTAAAGATAATATTCACTCTTTACTTTTAAAAAAGTTTTAAGCACTATTTCCTAAAAAACTCTCTCATACATCTGTTAAGGTTTCCATTTTTACTGACTAAATTTTCAGAATATGTAATCTTGATTTTTCTTACACTTATGTTCCAATCCCTTCAAGTAATGCTTGAGGAATCCTAAATTCCCCAAACTCTCTCCATAGTGCTAAATGAAAACATAGGATCCTCAGTAAGCTCAGAAATCATAATGTATTTTGTATTTCATACTGGGGCCCATGGCTACATCACAAAGAGCATCTGGTATCTTTAAGAACAGATTTTGTTACTTTAGAGACTTATACTTAACACATTGACTCTTCTACTCCAGGTTGTTTATTTGTGTTCCCTACGTCATCCTTGGCATAGTCTTATCAAATCTAAGTTTAATCTAGTACCACTGTCCACCTAATTAATCTCTCATGCAATAATAAAGCTTAGAAATAATTTTACTCATAACATTTATGAATTTCTACAAGTACTTAATGAAATAATAATGAAGATACATAAATTAGAAGAAAACCACAATGTTTTGGAAACCTGAAGTTTGTTCATATATTCTCCTTATAATTTGTAAAACAGAACAGTTTTAAATAGTAGATAAATCATTTTATAAGCCAGTAATTCTCAACTATATTAGATAATTCTAAAGAAAACAAAAATTGTCAGATTTTTAGTTACTACTATAATTCATATACTAACCAAGATTTTTAAAGAAAATAACAAATTAAACCATCACAAAATTTGCCTCCTTGTCTGCTGTACATATTAATGTAGATTAAGTTTAGGAATTAAATGCTTTATTATAGACTTATTCCTGTTTATAATTTTTTTTTTTTTTAATTATTTTCAGAGACGGGGTCTCTGTATGTTGCCCAGGCTGGTCTCCAACTCCTGGGCTTATCCCTGGTCTTCCAAAGTGCTGGGATTACAGGCTATAATTTAGTTTTCACACTTAACTAAAAATAAAATAAAAACTGATACTGTTCTTAGACAGCTAAATGTAACAGAATATACATATACATTTTTTACCACAGGCAAAATTTATTCATAAAAATTCTCTGCTGTAAAAATCCCTTCTATTGATATCTGTAGTTCAGTTCTGGAATAAATACATGTTTCAAGAGTATTCTGAGCAATCTAAAGGCAAAAAAAGTAAGCGTAAAGCCAAGTATATAGAACTTTACTAAAATTCAAAAAACGGCTACAAAAAACTTGGGACATACGAATTTATCTCTCTCTTTGTGATTCTGTGGGCAAATTTTGTAGGTACTTGGATGTAAAATGATTTTGAATTAGTGACACACCATGAAATAGACTTTTAAATGAAAAGACAAAATGTATACTACTAGTCAATATATTTGATATCACAACAAATAAAGTATTTCAGGCTAGACTGAATTTTTGTGGCACCAGTATTTTTTTAAGATAATCCATAAAGCAAAACATATATAATAAACTTTAATGCTGAAATCTAAAAAACTCTGAAAATAAGAAGAAATTCAACTTTTTTGGAAAAAACAATTCCATTAAAATATCTGAAGTAGTCTGAAACAGATCAGACACGTACCATTTAAAAGTAACGCAACACTGGGTAACCTCTGTACTGGTCGGATAAGAAGTTCAACAAGGCTCTGCCGTCCACATTCTGGTTTTGCTTGGTTTATCTGAAAAAAATTTATTCAACAATTTCAAAAAAGGTTTTCTGAAAAGATTGTGTGTCCTATGTCCTACTTTTATTAGATTACACCTTATCATCAGTGTCCCTGATACAAACTAATAGAGGTGTAATTGCTCCCCAGCAGATTACTGTGGCTGAATAATTTTTCAGGGCCTGAAATGACCTCTCGGCCAGCCAGTGGTTAACATCTTACAAAAAAGGTGAGTTCCTCTACAAACTCCTATATATGCCATCTTACAATTCTCTTAAGTCTGCATCGTTCACAAGAAAAAGCACATTTAATAACATTAATTAGGCTAGTACCATTACATAACAAAGGAACTGTTAAGAAAAAAAAAAAGGCAAAACAAATCTCACTGGAAAATCATTAGGTGTTTCGAGAACTAAAATAACGTATAACTTTTTAAAAACTTTTTTGTAGAGATAGGGGTCTCACCATGTTGCTCAAGCAATCCTCCCTTATCAGCCTCTCAAAGTGCTAAGATTACAGGCTGACATTGGCCAGTGCACCCAGCCACAACTTAAAAAAAAAAAAAAGACTACATATAACATTCTTATTCACTCACCTGCCTCCTGGCACCTAATACTGAAAATATCAAACTTTCCAAAGCTAAACATCATTGTCACCACAAGTACAACTAAAATTAACAGACATTAAGATGTTCCTACATAGATACATTTTACTAAAGTTAAAATGTACTTCATTTTTTCATGATTTTGATGTATTACTTTGGAAATAATCCTCAAATTTTTATTTGAAAGAAATATATATTACCTTGAGAAAAGCATGAAATCTTGGTTTCTGTTTTTCACATTTAATAATTGTTTCCTTGCTCATTTCAAAGAAGTTTACAAAGGGAGGGTACGTTTTTACCAAATCTTTTGACTAGGAAGAAAAGGGGGAAAAAACATTATTGTTATGCATTTATCACCCTTAGAGACAATGAAACTTAAAGTCAAATAGTTAATAGTCACAATCTGACATATTAGATGTAAAAGTTTATGTTTCTTCTCAAATATAGAAACATTTTATAAATTTCTCAGTAAACAGTTAATTGCCAAACAAAATACATCAATTGGTATACATAGTCTAAAACATGTAACGACCCAGAAAAAAACAAAAGCATGTTAAAGCTTAATTGTATTGACACAAACATGACAAAGAAAATGTCTATGAGTTCAAAAAATATTAATTAAATTACAGCTGATCTATGTAGATGCCAAAAGCATGGTATTTATTCAAAAATCCAAACCCCCATTAAAAGATCAGTTATATTACCCAAAAATGCAAGCAAGAAAAGGAAAATGGTCTTGGCTAATTGAGAAAATTAAAAGGTATCAAAAAAGTACGAAGAAATAATTTGTACATTTTTAATTCTCAACCAAACTGAAAAAATATCTAAGAGACTATTTTGTAAGGAAAGAAGTTAGAAAGAGGCTTCAAAAAATAAAAGTATAAATGCCAGTACTCAAGGCACTGAAACTTACAAATTTTATTTAAAGAGATTCAAAGAAACGTACAAATTCTATTTATAGAACCCCATCAAAATTAATTTATAAAACTTAAGTTGTGTGGTTCTTATCCTAGTAAAGAAGAGGCAGTTCATTAGAAGCCGTTAAACAGAAACAGACATGACAACAGTGTTATCAAAAAGAAGGGAGAAAAATAAAAACTTCTTTGTACATTTGGTAGAATTCAGCAATATTCACAGTAGCAAGGATATGGAATCAATCTAAGGGCCCATCAATGATAGACTTAATAAAGAAAATGTGGTATATATACACTATGGAATGCTATGCAGCCATAAAAAAAAAAAAAAAAAAAGCAAGATCATGTCCTTTGCAGACACATATATGCAGCATCATCCTTAGCAAACTAACACAGGAACAGAAAACCAAACATCACATATTCTCACTTATAAGTGGGAGCTAAAGGATTAGAAGACATAGACACATAGAGGGGAGTAATACACAGCTGGGACCTATTGGAAAGTGGAGGGTAGGAGGAAGGAGAAGATCAGGAAAAGTAAAAGGCACTAGGCTTAAAACTTGGGTGACAAAATAATCTGTACAATAGACCCCCATGACACAATATTACCTACATAATAAACCTGTACATATTACACTCCTGAACTTAAAATGAAAAATAATATACAAAATAAAAATACAATCCGTGGCCATTTATGAAGGGCAAATAACTTGATATACACTAAAACAATTACAGCACAGCATGATAATTAGCATTCTTCTAATAGTCTTGGACCATTAAGAAGGTGTTAAGTTGTGTCTAGAAGGCATGTTTCAGAAGACAAAGAACATTTCCAGTATATTTTATAAACACAATCATGTCAGTTTTAAAACCACTCACATTTAAATAGGTAAATTACATTCCTTGCCAGTCCTTGATCAGATCATACTTTAATCTGAAAACTTAGAAATACAATACTTACATATTTTAGAAAAATGTCACCGATGCTTTTGTTCTCATCCCAATTAACTATCAGGTCTTCAAGATCATCCTGAAATAGCACGAATTAAAATATTTAAGATTAAACCTGACAGCTCCTTATACATCTTTTAATATTTCCAAGATACTCATTGGAAAGCAGCACTTTACAAAGTGTCCGAATTTGATTTGTAAAATAATGAACATCCCATTCTTTCTCTTCAACAAGGAGTTTTTTTTTTTTACTACAAAGAAAACATCCTTTGAAAAATAATTTTTAAAATACAAATATTGCAAAGTCAATAAGCCTAACTTTCCAATATGATGTAATAACGCAGTATTTTTTTCTTATAGAAAACTACTTTCTATAAAGTAGTTGCTGAGGCATCTTATTTAACATCAGTCTTTAAAGACTGTAATCTCTAACAGGCATCAGCAAATTTAAAAGTGTGAATGGGCTGGGCGTGGTGGCTCATGCCCATAATCCAAGCACTTTGGAGGCCAAGGCGGGCGGATCACCTGAGGTCGGGAGTTCAAGACCAGCCTGACCAACACGGTGAAACCCTGTCTTTAAAAAAAAAAAAAAGTGTGAATGAATGAGTGTGACTGTGTTACAATACCAAAACATGCAATGGGCTGGATTTGGCCCATGAAGCATAGTTTGTTAATTCCTCATAGTCATTCTAAAATATTACTTCTTTGTAAAAACTAAGGAGAACATTTAAAAGCTTTATAATAAACAAGCAAATAAGATGATAAAATGAGATGCCAAGGAAATGACAAGACCTAATTGAAATTCTAAGTGATTAAAGTAGATATCAATCAACGAGCTCTTATACTAAAGATTCTCTATAAAGTTTCAACTAAAGTTTCGTCAAAGACTGCCAGGACATCCTTTCAGTGGAATCCCTGATTAAAATTATTTTTGTACTACTACTAAAGCATTATTTGACCTTCTCACTCATTCTCTCACAAGTACATACAGTTGTTTTCTACAAGCCACATGATGTATGATATTGCAACAGACTGAATGCAGAAGCAGATATGAGAATCAGTCTTCTATTAAGTTAGACAGTAAAAAAAAACTACAATACCACCACTCCCCTTACTAATTATTTTTGTTTGGAAAATTATTTCTCTTAAAGAATATGTTACTTGTGTTACCATGTAATCAGTTATTATTTTAAATGAATTAATATAAAATTAGATAACCCACATGCAAAAAGATGAACTTAAACCCTCACCTCATGCAAAACAACTTGTTGAAGAAAACAGAAAACAATCTTCAAAATCTTGAGTTTGGAAAAAAAATTTAGATATGACACTGAAATCACAGTCCACAAAAGAAAAAAATGAGTACACGGAACTTGATCAAAATTTAAAACTTTTGTACTTCAAGAAAACTTGTATCCACAATTTATAGTGAACTCTTAAAACTCAAGGATAATCCAATCGAAAATGGGCAACATACAGTAGCCATTTCACCAAAAATAATATACAAATAGCTAATAACCATGTGAAAAGACACTTATTAATCATTAGGGAAATAAAATTAAAGCCACAAGAGACATCTCCTCACCCACTAGGATGGTTATAATTT